GCAATAAGCTAATTGTTTTCTATCCTATTAGTATCAACCCCCAAACTCGCATGTATTTCTACATCCATATATATTTACACATAATTTAAAGCATCAGAATGCACTTAACTATGTATAGGCATAACAGCCAATTTTAAAATAAAAATTCCTTTCTTTCCCCTAAGTTGATTTGTAACGTCTTCTTCACCTACAGTAGCCTTAGGATTGCATACATTGCATACGTAGGATATAAAATATAGAAAGGTTTGAAACTCAGCAAAAAATTCATTATATGACTGGTTTCATCTTCTGCAGTTCTTTATTTTTCAATGGGTTTTTGAAATAAAAGGGTACCATGCACCCTTTTGTCACTTCAAATGTTTATTTGTTTGTTTGCTTGTTTGCTTTGTGCTGTTGAGCTGACTTCTAGAAATGGCCTGGACTAGGCCCTGAAGTATTTTTGAAGTGGTTTGCCATTGCCTATTTTCTAGAACTAGAAAGAGACTGGCCCAAGGGCTCCTAATTACCTTTGTTCATAAGGTTTGACTAGAATTCACCATCTCCCAGTTTGTAGGTTGGCACCCTTATCTCTCATCTCAATTCTCAAGTTTATCTTCTACTGGTAGTAAATAGGTTTAATCTCAAGCTGCTTTGGAGCAGTACATTTTGTTTTCCTCAAGGAAAGGAGAGGAATGATGACATAAGCTCCATTGGGCTTTTTTTTAAAGAAAGAAAATAAGGGGTTATAGGGCAAAATGGAAAACAGTGGTTTAAAGTATTTTCCCTCTTTTAAAGAAGCAGGAAAACCAGGGGTGAGATTCACATTTTTAAACAACCTGTTCTGTGGGCATGGCTTAGATGGTGGGCGTGGCTTGGTGGTCATGTGACTGGGTGGGCATGGCTTGGTGGTCATGTTATTGGCTGGGTGTGGCCAACTCAATATCACTCACATCGAGACATGCATCTCCTCGCCTGGCCTCTCATGACTGTGGGGATGCTACAACAGTCATAAGTGTGAAAAATGTCCATAAGTCACTTTTTTCAGTGCCATTGTAACTTTGAATGGTCACTCCACACAAGCAAAGTACCAACA